TATGAATCTTTTTATTACTATTACTTCCTTGGGTTCCGAGTGGAAAATAGGGCTTCAACAACACATTGCCACTTTGTTCTATTTGGTGCTGTCCTATTCAGATGGGTCCACGATTGACCATAATCTCTCATCTCCTCCTCGCTATACGATCTCCTCCATGCCACCCTCGCACCGACGACCCACTCGTCGCCTCCCATTTGGATTTCACTCGAGCGATGGCCTGCATTGCGCGCGATGTCGTTCGACGGCTTCCTCAACGTATACCCGATCCATCACCATTTTCTCCTCCATATTTGTTGAGCGATAGGCTCTTTGTTGGTTTGCTGCCAACCAGAGTTTCTTGTTGCTAGTTCTTTCTGGCCGACTGGCTGGCCATTTGATCTTCAGTATGGAGCCAACGAAGTGGGCAGCTGTTGATAAAAGTCTATAACTTGCTGGAAATCCTTTTCGTGACACGCCGGCCAGTAGCCTGTCGGAAAGGCTTTTAACAGTAGTAGTAGTAGCAGTCAGCTAATTGAATTTTTTTCAGAAATAATCTCACCATCGAATAAAATTCTATTAAACTGATAATTTATAAATTCCAGCTGCTTATCTGTAGGGATTTGATTGATGTGAAGTAAAATTACTTTCCGTTGACGTCGCCTAACAGTGGCATTGTACATCAAGAATGGATTCCATGGATCCTAGAGACTGAATGGCATCAGCGTGTTCACTTTGTAATTTGTAAATGTTCAGTTTGTTTCCTGATAGGGTGAATGGACGCATACTGGTGAAGAGTTCCAAACTAGAAAGAAACAGTTAGCCATCCGGTAATTCCTGATTCTCAAATGTTCTCTCGGCCGGGTTCGATCCCCGGCCACCAACGCACTCCTTTACCTCGCTAAACCAGTAATAAGACTGGTAAGCAGGGAAGGTTGGGCATGAGGTTAGCAGCCCCATCCCGTAAAAATAAAACAACACCACTGCTACCGAAACTTCAAGCCTCTAGCTTGAAGCCGTATGTTCCATTGGGAACGCTAAGGAATAAAAGAAAATGTCCTTTAATGGATGTTAATTCATGGTATTGTTACGGTTACAGTAACACCTCTTGTTCAATAGAATTACTTATTGAATACAAATCAAACAAAATGACACATACACATGCACATTAGTGTGATCACTGTTACACTCATCAAAAGATACTCTCTTCTACTGACCTGTAGACAAAGATTGATCAACGGAGTTATCGACTTCAGAACACAAAACAGGGTCTGCCTTAATGGTAGTCGATAATAAATGTACATAAAAAAAGGATTGCCCATCTCTATGTATTGTTCCGAGGTACGCAGCACACACACATACACACACTCACTAGTGTGTACACATAGATACACAAACAACATACGGAAAAGTAACCTAGTGTGATTCATCAAAATAATCGAAGTAAATCAGCAAAGCAACTAAGCCCACTCTACATGAAAGTAAACAGGGATAGAGACAGGCATGAAAGGTCAAATGTAAAATTCTAACAAAAACACATTGAAGGCAAGGTTAAAGTCGGCTGTTTACAGGTTGCACCAAAATAGAACCAACCAACCAACCAAGCAACTAAACAAACAAAAGCCCAGACACAGTAAGAACACACAAAAAGGAAGCAAAGCGTGATAGCTAATCAATAATGTATACCGTACCCGCTTCTTGTTATCATCATTCCACAAAGAGAGAGAGAGAAAGAGACAGAGAGTGGCACACAGCACACAAAAATAGAAGGATTCAGGCGCAGACACAGGCACACACACACAAACACGTGTACACGCACATCTACACAAAACACCGCTACTACCGCTAGCACACTCATTTCAAAGAAAAGAAACTATCTGACCTTAATTATCAACAATAATAATAGTATTATTATTCAGCATAGAAATCAAGATTAAATCAGACTATTTTCCTACCTATAGGAATATGATTTATTGATAAGACTATATAGAGGATAGAGCATTTTTAAAGGATGCCTTATTCAAGTACTTAAAATTCGATTGAATCATGAATATTCATCATTGTGTACCGAAAACCTCCTAAAAGTCTTCGATACAATCGCTAGTCTGGTTATGAGTGTAGATTAAGACACAACAAGTGTTGCCATTACAAGGCTTCAATTGATCACAGGGTTTATTTCATTAGGAAGTGATATCAGTTAGAAAATCACTGAAAACCAAAGGAGCACTAGACAACTTTTTTCATTCAGCAGTACAAACCTACATGAACCAATCAGAGGGCAAAATTAGCACCTTCAGATTATGAGGTTCAGCTGTTGACTTTCTAGTCACCGGAATGGAATCCAACGGCGGATAAATTTCAATTCTTGTCATGTCACGCGATATATAGTGTCGTCGTCAACCAATGCCATTAGCGAGTGTATCTATCCTCAAACCTGAGTTGGTGGACAACATCGATCACGACTTCTCACAAGAAAATTAATCCCGAAGTCAGTCACCAATGACTTGCAGAATAATACTAGCAGTTCTATTTTGATTGGACACTAGTAACTAGTGTGATGTGTCTAGTCCTTTCTTTGGTGCAGACTGAATTCTATCCGTCAGGATTGTAATGTGGTCACCAATCTAGGTAGCTCGCCGTCACGGTGCACATTGATGTGATGAAATTAGATGGTTCGAGGCAATCGGCAAGAAGCCTTGGACTTTGGTTTTGTGCTAGTTGGCACTCGTCGGCAAGGCGTATCTGCAACCTTGAAGGAACTCATGTCCCTTCTGAGATTCGAACCCGCGTCACCCAGTGCTGATACATCACACTAGCTACTAGTGTGCGATCAAAATATCCACTACAGTCCTACAGGAGGTCAATCGTGAGTCCGAATAGCTCAGCGGTAACATCTCTGACGGCAGCATTGGGTGACGCGGGTTTAAATCTCAGAAGGGACATGAGTTCCTTCAAGGTTGCAGATACGCCTTGCCGATGAGTGCCAACTAGCACGAAACCTAGGTCAAGCAAGGCTTACTGCGGCTGATTTCCTCTAACCATCTAACACTAACAGTTCAAATATAAAAATACCCGCAATGAAGCCTAGTAGGGAACTCAATTTCTCATCGCGCATTGAATAACATTTGACCACCTTTAGGAATCTTGTGTCACATTGTAGAATTCATAGATTATCAGATTCAAAAATCGATGTATCGCATCGTAACCTTATAGGTCACAGACTCAGTTCGTGATGTTGTCATGGGTGCGTGCTACTGAAGAGTCTACAAACTAGAATCGAAACATCCATTCAATCTCCCCTTGTATTTCAACACTTCTCTAACTGGTGTCGCTTCATCCTGAAATATACGCAAGAAGACAGTAGCAGTATCCCACAACTGTACAGTGACTATAGAAAGCGAATTACGTTACGATCTAATCACCCAAATTAAAAACTTCATAAATTTCACAGCATAATCAATAAGAGAGGCATGTTCCCCTTGATTCTTAATAACATTTCGTTAACCATATTATTATTATTATTATTATTATTAGTAGTAGTAGTAGTAGTAGTAGTGAAACACCAACTTGGTTTATTATGAGTACCCAGAGATGCGCCACACAAATCTCTTAGTTCGCGAGAGGCTTGCCATACTGTCCGGATATCCAGATCAAAGTAGGTGGTCGTCTTATGGTGGCTACCCCACCCATGAGTTTTTGATTTGAAGTCTGATCCACAAGGAAGTGAGTTAGCATCAGGAGTTAAGTTCATATGGTTTCTGGTGACCAAACCCAGTCCATTTGTCATTCGATCCTTTTGGATTGTGGAGCGCATGTACACCACAGCTTTGAAATAAGGGTTTTCCACCTCTACTCCATCAATCTGCTTGTAATCACCAGATGTTCGCATTCGCATTTTTACTTTTGTGAGGAACAGTCCAACCGCTTAGGTACCCTCTTCTTAACCCTTTTTGTCTCTGTTCATACCATATTATATTATACATATAGGGTTGGTAATATCAAGTAGTGGTTTTTTACACAAATTGGTATAGACAGTAGCACAACTTCACCCTATTTATGCATCTAATTATTATGCAATACGTAAATAACGACATAAGAAGCATGAAAGACATAAGACATGAGAGCCAAAATAAAGACAGGGACGTGAAATGTTTGTACAATGTACGAAGCTGGAAAGGATACCCAAGTTGCCAACGAAATGAGAAGATACCGCAAGGAAGCTTTGTGAATCTGCGAGACCAGGTGGAATGGATATGGACTATTCAAATTGTCGACTGAAGAGTCAGTAATCTACTCCGATCACAAACCAAGTAAGAAACTATTGCTCAACAAATATTCCGAAGACAATGGAGATGGATGGGCATACGTGAGGAGACGACCGTCAAATGAAATCGTGCGCCAGGCAGATCCTCGAGTGGAACTCGAATGGAAAACGACGAGTGGGGCGTCCAAGGGTGATATGGAGAAGGTAGTGTGAGGAGGATGTAAGAGACTATGGGCAATCGTGGGGCCAGTTAAAGAGGACCGCAGGAAATAGGACGAAATGGAGATGTTCTGTTGAAGCCCTATGTTCCACTTGGAAAACAAAGGGACAACAATAACAGTAATAAATTATTATTACTATACCATTACTCTACAATAGAAAACATCCCAGATGGCTGGATTATTTATTTCATTCATTGTACATTCTTTAAGATTTCCCTTTTTTTACTTCTTTTTCTCCCTCCTTCAGCCACTTATGCATTCACTTCAAAGTAAGTAATCCTCAAATTATGACAGAAAAACTCCTACCTACCTTATTTCATATTAATGAGATAGATATACAGACTAGACATTGAAAGTGAAGCAGAAATTCAGAGGAAGTGTGATAGACGGAGAGGGGTAGTGAGAGAGAGGAAGAAAGCGAAAAAAAATTGATCGTCTTGTCAAATTATGACATTTGTTACATGTTACATACGTATATATATATATATATATATATATATATATATATAAGGCGATCAAATGAAAAGCCAACATACCTGATCTGTTCGACTGCTTGAAACATTGCGCGGCATTCTTCGAAGGCTATGCGAACCACTTGAATATGTATCACCTGAAAAAAAAATAAAATCAGAAGTCACTAGACAAGATTTCGATGAAAAAGAATGAAAAGTATTCAACTTCTATACAAAGTTAATCACAAACTCTAATGATTTTGCATGATTTGTCAGCATAGCTGAGACTTAACGGTTTTCTTTGACCACAGACGACTATGTTCATTCATGTTATGTTGTCTAATGTAATTAGGAATATGGGAAGTTAGGTGTAGAGTGCTGGGTAACGAGGGGAAGCCAATCAATAATTTTGTGAAGCTGCATCGATTGAGATAGTTGTTACACATGCCAAGCTATCGCCTTACTCCTCGACCCACGTTAGCTGACACAAGATTGGGTTGGGAAAGAGTCAGGGGGGATTAAGACAAAAAGACTTGACAGAGATCTATGGAGTGGCTTTGACCGTTGGTTTGAGGAAGTGAAGACTACCTGACTGACGTCCTCCATATGTTAAGAACCAATGGAGTTTCTTTTCGTTACTTATATGTATATATGTGTTTAAGTATGTGTATATGAAGTGTAATAGATTGAAGTATTTCACTTTTACGTAAACTTCTACGTTGATAAATCAGTTCAGTTCAGTTTTATACACAATCATAAATCCATGATTTCTCAGTAACGCTGCAGCTGAACTGGTTCATTTATCTTGTCTACTATCTATGTATTACTAGGAATATTCATGTTATTTTTAGATTAATTTTGTATTCCCCGTTGATGGATTATGTTAAACTGAATATCTCGGTATCTGTTGACAATCGGGCTCCTAGTACACAGACGTAACGATAATGTTAAAGGGTTAATATGAAGTTATTTTGGTAGGTGGTGACTACTGGTGGAATCGAGAATGCAGATTTGACCCAATTAGGACTCGTCATCTGGATCTACCTGCATTTCTAGTAAGTGATGATACTCTCACCCATGGCCCTCGTTTTCTAGTGTATAATGCTCTGGCATCTGAAACGACTGGTTTAGCGTTCCAGTCTCGTTGGGAATAAAATCACTCACTGAGAATGCGAACACATTCAGAGAACGAGTCCGAAATAGAACGAAATGAACATCCTGGATTCTACACCGCTAGTTATCAACAACCAAAATAATATTCATGTTGATTTTCACCTAAAGCTTTAGTAAAGTTATAATACTCTCAAAATATGCAAAAGACAGACAGATATTGCCTACAAACACCTGTTGGTATTTCCCTCATATGGCTTAAATCTCTTCAGGTGGAAAACAAACCAATTGGGGTTAAACTGATTATCGGCCTTCTGAAAATTTATCTGCGTTGTATTTCTCTTATCTCTTTCTCTTTTTTAATTTAGGCTACAGAAGACATATATTTGCTGAAAAGAAGTTCACTTTTTATATAAGTAAATGATAAGGGTTAAATTCAACGCTTAAACCATACAGCAAACAGTCTTGTAGAATGTTACAAGATGATAAGGGAATGACTTGAGAATATCGCTGGTCAGTAGGGATTTGACTGATTTAAAGTTTAGTCACAAGTTGAATCGATGTAGCGTTAGTTTCCCTCCCAGTGGCTAAATGGTCTACGAGTTCACCTAGTAATCTGAAAGTCCTGAGTTCTACCCTCGATAGGTGTAATAGGTGCATACTGATGAAGGATTCCAAACCAGGACGAAATAGCTGTCCAGTAGTCTTTGGTTTCCAATGGTTCTCTAACTGAAGTCAGTTCTTGATCAAACTTGAAGACTTGAGAATAACAAGAATGATGAGTTCTACAAAATATACTACTTAAAAGGTTGAATTGCAACATGCTGGTTGCCAAACTGTATGATTTTAACTTGAACAGCTATCCATTTTCTTCTAGTTCCTTTAATGACCCTCTCTCTATATGGTGACATTAGTTCTTGACGAAATCGGACTTCAGATCAGTCAAATTCTCACAAACCTTCCAACAGATGAGAATAAATGTGGTTACCTATAAAATATATATATTACATAACATTCACTATCTATAATAAACTGATGTTGGAGCTATTTTGTGCGTCGGTGGCACAGCGGTTAGGACACTCGCCGACCAAGCACATGGTCCGGGGTTCGACCCCCGGGCGACGCACTCCTTTACCTCGATAAACCAGTAATAAGACTGGTAAAGAGGAAAGGTTGGGCATGAGGCTAGCAACCCCATCCTGTAAAAATAAACACTGCTACAGAAACTTCAAGCCTCTAGCTTGAAGCCCTTTGTTTCACTGGGAATGTGAAGGAAAATAAAGAAACTATTTTGGATAACCTTGGATTAGCTGATGTCTATTGATGTTTCTAAGTAATGATTAGAAATCAAATAAAAGTCTAGGTCAAAGCATGAGTTAAACCAGAGAATTTCAGGTTCTTACTAAACATGAATATCACAATACAAAATCGGACTAGTCAAAACTTTGTTTCAAAAGGGTTGAAAAACTCTGCCGATTAAATGAACTGATGTGAAAGGATTTCAGTTCACAGGAGAGTATTTGAAAGATGACGATTATCAAGAACACAATAGAAACGGAGGTATCAAGAATTCTGAAGAAAAAAATCTGTCTTCTCCCATGAGTACATCACCATCCAGCCAATTAGTCAGACAGAATTTAAACGTTCCATCAAACATGAAGCTTCTGTCAATTCATGATATAGCACTGTCATCAGCCCTGCGGGGCGAAGGGGGTTGGAGGATGTGAACCGTTGAGAATACCCAAAGAGTTATCCACTTTTCCTCAGTTTTCAGTGGTTTTCTAACTGATGTCACATTGAAACGAAATCCACTTATATCCCTGCTCTTCAGCCTCCACCCCAAAACACTTAAAAATCTACATTCACTTGACTTGACCTGTTTTACACTTGTAATTTAATAGTTTATATTCAACACTTTAAAACATACTGAAATAACTCATTTTTGAATTTATCTTTGAGGTGAAAATGAAGAAAATGTGGGAAAAAATTAAGAGAGAGGAAAGCAGTTTAACTTTATTCCCCCCCATTCCACGTATATACATACATATTTCACACGCATAAATCACAATTAACACTTATGTACACATACACACTCTATAATAAAGCATTCTATTAGACTAAAATGGGACAGTGTTATTATCACTTTAATTGATTATGCTCCTTCTCTCTGTCTCCCACACGCACGATAAGAAAACTTTTATTCATCTGATACCAACCATGGCCTTGTGGACTAGTGGATAACGTTTCGATGTTTCAAAAGATAAGTGTTGATTGTCAATCCCGACAAGAACACACAACTTACATCTAGCCAGCAAGTTCAGAACAGGATGAAACGCGAATCTTGGATTCCACTAATAGACACAATCAACTAAGTAGCATGATGACGTTAAGCCTTAGACATCGCCTAGACGGTTATAGACACTGAGTATTTCGGTCTGGGGATAGTGCAATGGCCACTGACTCGATTCCTATTGCAACCAATGTAATCTGCTTTCAACTACGATCACTACTCCATAAAAATAAGTAACTGATGCAACAACGAACTATCCAGATGAGTATATTAGACTTTATTCATGTAACGCATAACTAATACACACATAAACGGACTGTAAAGACGATAGTGATAGAAATTACTAAAGAAGTTGGATGCCAGCAACACAACAACTCAGCAATTGTATCAACTATGCCAAGCACACGCACACACACACTCTATTGCGCAGTAATTGACTGCTATACGTTTCCAGGAAATATAACTGTTGCAGTATTTGGCCTTTAAAGATGACTTCGTTAACAAAGAAACAATTTTTTTCTCCGAATTGTCTTTTATTTTTCTTTCATGACTCAATGAGTATTTTCCAATTATTTTAGTCTTAATCACGAACTGACTCCAGTTAGCAAATCTCACTGAAAACCAGAGAAGATTGGGCAGTTATTTGTTTCGCGCTTGTTTAGGACTCTTCAACAGTAAGCAACCGTAATCCAACCGAGGATCAAACCCAAGACCTTCAGTTTACAAGGTGAGCTCGTGTACCAATCCAACTTCTGCCAATTTGCAATATGTAGCTCACCCGCCACGCCCAACCTATTGGACCTCGCTGATCACTACTTCTCCCCTTGTGGGGACTTCAGAAAAATTCATCCTATAGTTAGTCATTAGTGAACACTAGATGATGAGTGTCGGTTTGCAAGGATATGATCGGCGTCAATTTCGATCACAAATTGACTTCAGTTAGAGAGGGGAGTACTGCACAGTGTCGATGTGAAACCAATCAAATTCCTGAAAACCAACACCTGGCGATTATCTACTGATGTCAATGATCAGAAAAAAACGAAGAAAAAAATAGAACAATTAGGAGACGCCTTCGAAAATGTGAAATCGATAAGTTATCAAACATATAGCCACAACCTATGACAAAAAAGTAACAACAGATAATTTACTGATGGTATTTTATATGATGACGATTTTTTTTCTTGTATCACATGTTAAGAAATTCTTAAAAATATTTCAAAATTAAAAACAATTAGATGATTAATCTGAATTGGATTATGCAAAGAGTATATAATGTGCAGCTTGTGATTGAGATGAAACAATGGTGTTTTGTTGACGCTAGATGGTTGGAGGCACTAACCAGTCACAGCAAGGAATATCTGAAATCTTGAAGGAACTCATGTCCCTCATGAGATTTGAACTCGTGTACCCCCAGTGATGCAGTCAGAGACGTTCAGTCCAGACAAGCACCGAGGACTGAACACAAGACATCAGTTACACACCCTAGTGACCCATCAAAGTATCCATTACAGTCCTACAGAAGGTCAATCACGAGACCGAATAGCTAGCTCAGTGGTAACGTCTCTAACTGCACAACTAGGTGACCCACAGGTTCAAATCTCAGAGAGGACAGAAGTTTCTTGAAGATTGCAGATACTCCTTTCTGACTGTTGAGTGCCAACAAGGCTTCCTATCGATTGATTCCAGCCATCTTATAACAACAAGTCCACTGACTGGATGTTATGATTAGTGTAAAACATCCAACTCTTCAAGAAGACATCATTATCATTATTCGTCCCTTGGGTACAGAGGAGAAGATAGGTCTTCAATAGCACAGCTTCATTTTATTTTTTTTCTACGTCGTTCTATTTAATTGGTTGGACGACAATCCAGGTCAAACTGATCGTTTCCTATTCGAGAGCCTGGTATGTGACATCACTCGGCAGTATCCACAAAAATCAAATCGATCCCTGAAGCGTCTTCTTAATCTCACAGGTCAATGTATAATGACAAAAAATCAATGAACTAAAATTTACCTTGTAAACCAAGAGCAGTTGGTGTTGTTGTAGCTGAACTACGCCTTAATCGTTCCATATCAGCTAGCGCACGATCTCTTTCATTTTGACTCGTTTCAAGTAGACGTCGTAAACGATCTAATTCGGTGTGCAGTTGATTTTTCTCTTCTAGTGCAGCCATTTTCTCACGTAAATGCGTTTGTAGGCGTTCATTTGATTCTAACAGTAATTTATCAACCTATAAAAATAACAATAATAATGATAATAAATCATCCATAAATGATATAAACAAAAAGAAAAGAAAAAACAAAACAAAAAGGACTAAATTTCGCAATATTTCTTTTGACAATACTCCTCGTGTTATCCAACTAACTTCAAACATTTTCAATGGTTAGTACTTTTATAAACAAAGTTTATTTACGAATGATAGATAGATGTACTAAAGGAGTTTATCTTACTGCTTTGTGTTCACATAAAAAGCGCTCAACGGTAACCTCTTTAAAAATTGAATTAAAATTAGATTTAAATTAAAGGTACCAACAGTTCCTAAAAAGGCCTTATTCTTAGAAATGCAGTTCCGCAAGGACAACATCAGCGAGATACTAACACAACGCCTTAGGAATGCGGTAAAAAGAGCATTCCCTGCTGCCGAATTACTCTGTGTCTTCAAAACCACTCCTCTTTTGCGTTCGGGAGTAAAAGATAAACTGCCTAATTTCGCCTCTTCCATGTGTATCTACCAATTTAACTGCTACTGTGGAGCCAGTTAGTTACGTAGGCCGTACAATTAGGCGTCTTTCTCGTCAGATTTCCGAACATCACCCTGCATAGTGGTTAAGTAAAGAACAAACAAAATCTATTCGTAGCGCTATTCTGTCTCATCTTGTGGATACAGAACACAAGATTGATGTTAAGCAGGCTTTCAGGGTCAATTTACCGCATACCAACAAATCTTAATTTCACCTTAAGAGTTCGACTACTAAATATTGCTGAGGCTGTTGGAATCCATATTAAGAAGCCTAACTTGTGCGTCCAAAATAAGTTAGCCCGGACATTATCCTTACCTTGACCATCTAGGTTTGAATGATCCTCAACTTTTGTAGAATTTTCCTAATTTTAGTTGATATTCTATTTGCTACTATATCTTTATTATTATTATTATTTAAACATCTTTAATGAACTGTAATTCTACTGATCTTACTTTACAAATCGATGTTATTTAAAAAAAACACCAATATTGTTATTGACTACTATTCTAGAATATTCTATGTATATAAACATATGCATATAATTGTAGAGCCAGAGGAGGAGGAAATTGTCGAAAAGGATACTCTTTGCTCAATTATTTTGTGTTTTATACGAATTTAAATTTTCAATTCTCAAATTAATTTGCAATTTACACAGTTTCCTTTAGATGGTTGGAGGCAATCGGCCGCAGGAAGCACAGCTTGACCTAGGTTTCGTGCTAGTTGGCACTCACTAGTCAGCAAGGCGTATCTGAAATATTGAAGGAACTCATATCCCTTCTGTGATTCGAAACTGCGTCACCCAGTGCTGCAGTCAGAGATGTTACCACTGAGCTATTCGGGCACGAGTGCCAACTAGCACGAAACCTAGCTCCAAGGCTTTATGCCGATTACCTCAAACCAATCTAATATCAACAATTCGCAGTGCAGTGCATTGTGATGGCGAGCCACCTAGTGGCATGGTGGCCACATTGCAAACCTGACTTGACGGATAGAATTCAATCTGCAACAAAGATAGGACTAGACACATTACACTAGTCACTAACTAGTGTCCGATCAAAAATACAGTTTCCTTTGGAAACCGAAATTATTCAGATCACCACAACGTGTGATCTGTTTGATACCATAAATGGTAATCAAGAAAGTAAGGATAACTGCATAAAACGATACACTATCGATTGACTGATTGAGATGAGTATCACTAGTTCGCTCAAGTAGCCAGACAGAAATCGAGTGATTTGAACTGATTCGGCTATCTGAACTGAGTCAAACCGAGTACACGGCTGACGACTTCGGCCCCAAATGAGCGAAACGGCGGTCCCGTGGTGTTTAGATCACCTCGATCTAGGTTGATATGATTGGTGGTATACAACTACTCATATCAACCAATCAGTAGTATATACTTCTATGCATTTATACCTGGTAACGTCTTTGACTGAAGCAGAACAGGTGATGCTAATTAGATTCTCTGAAACGCCATTAAAGTCATCCAGGTTGCAGATATATATGCTTTGTTGATGATTGTCAACAGAAGACATGAAACCTTCACTAACAGACTTCAAAAGCTTTTTTTCCTTTGCGTTCCTAGTGGAACATAGGGCGGCTTCAAGCTAGAGACTTGAAGTTTCGGTAGCAGTGGTATTTATTTTTACGGGCTGGGGTTGCTAGCCAGCATCATGCCCAACCTTCCCTCTTTACCAGTCTTATTACTACTGGCTTAGCGAGGTAAAGGAGTGAGTCGATGGTCAGAGATCGAACCCCGAACAACTTCAAAAATATGCATCACTAATTTACAACACTTTTCTTTTCGATTCCTTGTGTTCCCAGTGAAATATAAAACTTCAAGCTTTGAAGTTTCAGTAACGTTGGAGTTGTATTTAACATGCTCAACCTTCCCCTTTTTACCAGGACTACCACTGGCTAGTAAATTAGGTACGATAAATCAGTGCGTAGGCCGGGAATCGAACTCTTGACGGTGAGTGCATGGTTGACGAGCATTTCTACCACCAAACACTACCAACGCATTATTTTTGAACGCACACAAAGCATAATTTGGCACACGTAAGCAAATTCAGAATTTTAATTATGATTGAAAGTTGAAATCAAATTAATACACATAACAATGGTATTTGAAGAAAAAGAAGAAGAAGACTCTTCTTCATAAATAAAAAAACGGGTTGTTTAAACACTTTAGTGTTTATAAGAGCTTTCTATTGCTGTTTAATGAACTCCTAAGTTAGCAATCAATCAAAACAAAAATGTTTCTCAACAAAGTCTAATAACGAGTGATCAAACTCCTCAAATTAAACAGACTGCAAAAATAATAATAATAATAACAATAATATAAGTAATAAGGACAGCCATAATAATTATGGTGGTTTCGTTGCTTTCCGAACTTTTTACATCAACCTGGACATCATCTTCAGTGTCATTCATGAGGAAAGAGATCATTAAAACATTCAAAACTAGAGCTATAAGTGTTTATTATTATTTATTATTATTATTGTTCCCTGCATCCATGTTAGTCCATACTGTTTCAACTCCTCTTCACACAATCTCCTCCATGTCACCCTTGCACCGACGTCCCACTCGCCGCTTCCCTTTCGGGTTCCACTCGAGCACTGGCCTGACGCGCGATGTCACCCAGCGGCCTCCTCAGCGAGTGTCCAATCCATCTCCACTTTCTCCTGCATATTTGTTGAGCGCCCGCTTCTTGTTTTGTTTGTTCCCATAGTTTCTTGTTGGTGATTCTTTCCGGCCATCTGATCTTCAGTACAGAACGAAGACAGCTGTTGATAGAGGTCTGCAACAGGCTGTTGGAAATATTCTTTGTGACCCGCCAAGTTTCTGATCCGTATAGAAGAACCGACTGACTTGATGTTTGTATTGAAAATCCGAATTACTTTGTTGTTGATGCTGAGTTGAGTGACGAAGATTTCCAGATTGGTTTCAGGTTGATGAATGTGTTTCTCGCCTTCCCGATTCTCAATTTGACATCCTCATCCGTTCCGTGTGCCAGTAGTTGAGACAATGCTCCCTAGATAAGTGAATGAAGTAACCTCTTTCAAATCCCTCCCGTTGATGGTGATTGGCGCTGGATGTCGCTGCTGTTGTTGTTCTTGGTTGGTTATTTTCATAACCTCCGTCTTGTCTCTGTTCACCTGGAGTCCTGTCTTTGCTGCTTCTTCGACCAGTTTGTCGGTTTTCGCTTGTAAGTCTTCGATTTTGTGTGACATCAAACATAAATCATCCACGCGCGAAATTCAGGTCTTCTAGGTTCTTCACGTCGGTCCAGGATATCCCTGTCTTCTCGTTTCCCACTGTCTGATGCATAATCCAGTCCACCACATTTAGGAATATCATTGGTGATAATAAGCACCCTTGTCTGACTCCTGTGTTTCCTCCAAGCGCTTCGCTGAGTTTTCCGTTTTGGATCACTTGACATGTGCCGTTGTCGCACAGTTGTTGAATAAGGTTGATGAATATTTGGGATACGCCGTAGTACTCGAGTAGTTTCCAAATTACTTCGCGGTCAACGCTGTCGAAGGCCTTCTCAAAGTCTATAAAGTTGAGGTAGAGGTTTGATTGCCATTCCATGCTTTGTTCGATGATGATGCGTAGAGTTGCAATTTGGTCAGAACATGATTTGCCTTTCCTGAATCCAGCTTGTTCTGGTCAGAGTTCTCCATCCAGTGCGTCCTTTATTCTCTCTATAAGTGTTTACTGTACATAAAACCGTCAAAATAGTTCAGTTGGGAAAATTCAAGAATTCAAAATGTACAAATATTGATTGCCTGTGTGTTAATCAGGATAATGTAAACAGATGGGCATACTCTAGAAGATCTGAAGATTTATGTCTAGTGTCACACAAACTCAAAGATCCACAGGTGAAAACCAACAAAATGGCAAAAGAGTCAGCGAAGATAGGATTTCAGATGAACAAAGAGAAGACAGAGGTGATGAAGATACTCACCCAACCGACAACAACAAAAACAAGCATCGATCACCATCAATGGTAGAAATCTAAAGGAAGTCGCCTTTTTCACTTATTTAGGCAGTATCTTTTTAACTACAGGCGGCACGGATGAGGATGTCAAAGGTAGGAGCGGAAAATCAAGGAAGACTCTCATTAATCTGAAATGAATGTGAAAATCTGCTGCACTCAGAATATGGAACAAGATTCAAGATCTTCAACAGTAATATCAAGTCAGTGATTTCATATGCTTCGCGTACTTGCCATCCACGTAAAGAAAAGCATTTCCACCAGGGTGCTGAAGCATTTCATCTACAGCTAACTTCGCTTCAGACTGAAGATCAGATGGCTGGTCAGAACAGATTAACGACAAGGAACTCTGCCAGTGAACCAACCAAGAACCTATAGTCCAACAAATATGGAGAGGGAAGTGGAGATGGGTTGGACACATGTGGAGGAGACCGTTGAGTGGAACCCAAGGGCATAATAATATGTGCCCATATGAGCATAGAAAATACCCCAAACACCACACATTATTTATCTATTCTACATAATTTAGATTGATGAATAGAAGTGATAGTTAACCAAAAACAACATGAATCTCCACTACACGATACAACTGTTGAACAATGTTGATTTACTTGTATGGAAGGGAATACCACTTATACTCCCATTTTCGTAGCTAAACCAACAAAACAATGAGTTAACAGTTCTCGTCTGGTTACATTGAATATCGTTAACAAAGCGATGGAATTTTCTTTTAGTCTGACCAAAGAAACGAATATCTGGACAGATATTTCATGAATTAAGCTTATCGTGTGACGGCTGGTAATACTATTTAGTCACTCAAACTTAATTAGACGGAGTGGGACTCGAACCAAGGACCCGTTGTCTGAAAGTGGAGTGTTCAACTCCGTAACATAAACAGAAAGGAGAGTGAATGACTCAAAAGTAACATCTCTGACTACGGTACTGGGTGATGCGGCTGTGAATCTACGGAGGGAACGTCAACCGGTCAACCATTTCCAAATACATGATAGTCAGCGACCTATATTCGATATAGCTGATTTGGTAATTATACCAAGAGTGCAATAATAATAATAATAATAAAACAACGGTTACCCTCAGAGATTCACTAACAAGTGTGAAAGATGGGAAGGCTCAAATTCTAAACAAATCACAGTGGGACAAAAGCTTATCTTCATTCAACTCGATTTTAAAGGTGATAATACTGCAGGAATAGTCGACACAACATTGAATATCTCACTAGCCAGAACCTATCCTAAAGCGAAGTTGGTTCCCGTTTATCGGAAAACATCCTCTTTGGTAAAATCAAAAGTCGACAGACATCCTTCTCATGTTAACTCTAACTGTGTATACAAATTTACATGTATCTGCGGTAGCAGTTAACGCGGGAGAACAAAAAGAAGTGCATATCTCCGATTTTCCGAACATGTACTGAAAAGCCGAGGTCTCAAGGGAACAAGCGTTTACAATAGTACTATTGCCAGACATCTCATCAGTTATGAGGTCATGAGGTGGAAGTCGTGAAATCCTTAAATATTTTCAATAGACAAAATAGTTCAATTCACCTCAAGTTTATCGAAAAAATCACCAGCAAACGCCTGAAACCTGATTTATGTCTTCGTCAGAAAGAAGCAGTTATCAGTCCTTCTTAGCCCTGATAACTGGATGCATTAATTCTCTCTTTCACTTGGTTGCATAATCTTTAACGCTGAAAATTCCATTCTGTCCGATTATTATTGTTTGGAATAAAGTGATTATTATTATTATTATTATTACCATTGTACGCATACATTGATTCTTTGTTTAAACTTGAACTCTCTAGGCCGTGGACAGCTGATGAGATGCCAACGAAGTTAATGATGGTACCACCTTATTCAGCACTAACTGTTGTTCTTGCTTTATCCAAACTGAACAATAAGTTTTCAAATGGAATACATCACTAATCGATATCAATCAAAAAACTAGTGATAGTAAAAGACCTAAGTGGCCCAAGTGGTCTAGTGGATAACGCTTTGGCGTTTGAAACTATGGGCACTGGGTTCAAGCCTCGGTGGGAACATCACCACTCACTGGGAAATGCAGGTACATCCAGATGACGAGTCCCAAATAGGACGAAATGCGCATCCTGGATTCCACTGCTAGTCACCATCCATCAATTAAATACTAATTAAATGCCCAGACATCGTCGAAGCATCTGCTCAAGAAGCCGACATGTCAACCTGAGACCGAACACTTCGGCCCAATCAATCGACGGGAAAATCTAAAATTCAATTAAAAGATAGTAAAAGACATTAAGAGGACCTGATCCAGGCACCATAAGGTTCCCAGCTGACTGTCCATACCAAATGATGTACAAATTCTACATTCAGACACCTGTCAATATGACATCAGCATGCCATTAAAGTCATGAACAAGTGGATCCTTACTTTGTAGTTGAAGTGCTTTCTTCGAAAAATTGAAGGTCTGAGTTCCGATTTGTCGGGATTTATTGTGTGTTACCAATAACGATAAGTTTCGAACTAGGTTGAAGTAAGCACTGAAGATGTTGTCTAGAAGAACAATGGAACCTTCACAACTGCCCCACTCAGCTCAGAGAACACAACCACACCAAAAACACCCACCAGAGAGAGCTACAAATCTCCTTCATTAGGCGGAAACAAGTGTCTAATTCCATTCAATTTTAAATATTCATCCAATCAATCAATATGTGTGTGAATTACAAAGTTCAATTTAAAAATTTAAAACATATACATGCATAAATAAAATAAAATAAAAATAAACTCACTGTAGCAGTTAGCCGTGAACTATGATCTTCATTCAATTGTTCACGTTGTCTAGCTCTTTGTAATTCTGATTGAATTTCATTCATTTCAGCCTCCATATCTTTAATACGCTCTTCAGCTGTTGATAATTGAACACGTAATTCATCAACACAAGATGCAGTAGATGCAGAATTATCATTTAATTCAGAAGTTTTCTTTCTACGTCTAATTTCTACTTGATTAGATCCATTGTCATTATCATTATTATTGTTATTACTATTGTCAGTGTCTGTGGATTCAGTGAATTCACCATTTTCAATAGGCAATTGATCTGTATTAGTTGTTTTACTAGATGATTTGTTCAATTGTGAATGTTGCTGGTGCTGTGGTTGATTGGCTGTTGCATTCACTTTAACAATAGCTAATTCATTTTGAACTATTTCTAATTCACTGGCTAAATGATTTGCATGATCTTTTGCCTTTTACACAAAGAAGAGAAGAAGATCCAATGAAACAATTGAAAATAAACAAAAAACAAACGATAATGGATATAAACTATCTGATAATGAACGGTGAATGGAATTGAACAAAGCAATAACGCACAATAAAGAAACGGAATAACTGCTGACTGGTTTCAACACGGATCTTTGCGCGAGAGTGCAGCAATTCAACTTACCACACTCAATACAGCACACAAAGGATGATAAAAGCGCGCACAAGAGAGAGAGAGAGAAGGGAGAGACTTAAAAAACAATAATAAACAAAAATGTGAGGAAGAAAGGATAGTACCAGATCTTCGCCACTGAGAACGATTTCCAGTCAGTATAACCAATTGTCTCCAATCATTGGTTTTTAAGATTCCGAGAATCCCTATCAGGCGGCCTACACCTCCTTACATGACTGGCTTAAACTAAGAACACAGAGGTAGATAAAGATGTCGCGTGTATAGTGAAATAAAAAGCGACCATGTGTAGATCACATCAAAGCCATCTTAAAAAGTATTCAAGAGATTCAGCAGTGGATTAACAGAAAGAAGTCGCATACAGGCAAAAGCAATGTGATGTGCATTACATATATACATTGACGAATGTCTGCGTAGTAGCTATGGAAGAAAGTTGGGAGGAGGTTAATAATTCTAAGGAGAACCTGACTCTTATACAAAGTGACTGATATAATTTACAAATGGTGAAATCAGAAGAAAAAAACTGATTGATGAAATTTTCGCACGTGTACAAAAGGATAGTTTCAAATTTGCCAATTGGCGTCATCTCTGACTCTAGTGTGATATTAGGCTATCCATCAAATAAAGTGTATAGTGTACAGCAGCTCGTCCTGTCCTTCTTTACGTCTGCTGGTGAGATATTCCTATCGAAAGTGTAAGATATGAACAAGGCTAACTGTTTATAGCCATAAGTGTCTGCGTTCAGTGTCTTGTGTGTAATATGGCCGGAAATAATGAGCTTAGATGTAGAATATTTGTTAAGTCTATTGAGATGGCTAGAACATGTGTACACTTATGTCTATTGTAGTTTCATTATACTGCATTTCTCATTGATAATTCAAAAAACACTCTAAAATATTTCATGCAACTTTGTTTGAAGAAAGCAGTTTTGAAGACAACTTCTAAGAATTTTGAAGAACCATTATGGTGTGTCATATAAGCTATGTCCCCATAAACGACCTAGTACGGCCGAGGGTGAGTAGACTTCAGTCTTCCTTTCGAAATACTCTCATATGGCTACGCGCTCATATCCACTGCTTTCACACGACAGGGGTGATTCTCACAAAAATGACAGGGTGGATGAGAACGTCTGGAGCTTATAACTGGAAGGGTGAACATGCTGATCTACTTCGCGGAACTGGTAAAACATGATTACTCCAAACTTATGGTGTGCATGAACACCAGAATCCGAAGGAATAGAATGACATATGAACTTGTTTTGGTTACAGAAAACGATGGGAAAGCAGTACTTGACACTGCTCCACTGCCTTGCACTTCAGACTCCGAGTCAAATATCACACAGTGTTATACAGTAATATTTACTGATGACGTTTCGAGCACAATTTGTTTCTCATAATCACATCAAAGTACGAAGCAAGAAGGTTATGTGAGTACTTTGATATGATTATGAGCAATAAATTGTGCTCATCAGTAAATATTACTGTATAACACTGTGTGATCTTATCAAAATAAAATTTTATCCATAATGGAATTAAACTCTCACACAGTGCCCAAGTCTTACCTTTATTCCAAGTCAAAGACTCAGGAGGGGTGGCCTCTTAAGATAACCACCTGCTTTGGTCTGGGTTTCAAAACAGCATCCCATCCTTCGCACATGGCGCTTTTTTAGTGCCCACAGTGTATCAATGTCAAGTTTTAACAAATAAAAATAGTGTAAGCCGTAGTTCAATGGTTTATTGCCTCAACAGAAAATTGTCATTCAATTATTCCAACTTCTTTCTTTAGTATACGCAGTTAGTTACCTACTATAGCCTAAGCGCGTCGGTGCCACAATGGTAGAATGCTTGCCAACCACGCATGTGGTCCGGGGTTCGATCCCCGGCCACCGATACACTCCTTTACCCCGCTAAACCAGTAATAAGACTGGTAAAGACTGAAGGTTGGGTATGAGGCTAGCAACCCATCCCGTAAAAAATAAACACCACTGCTACCGAAACTTCAAAGCTCTAGCTTGAAGCCGCCCTATGTTCCACTGGGAAGGTAAAGGAATAAACTAATATAATATAATAATACAACCTAGAAGTCAGAATAACTTCAACCAATATCTGCCAAAGAGAACAAGACAAGACTTGTCAAAGTTCACCATTTACGAGTGATATCGACTGGTATAAAGTCTACAGTCAAATGGCAGCAGCCATCCGTAAATGCTATACATCAGATAACACTGATATCCACCAAGTAGAAAAAAAAAGGTGATGAATAGTGAGTGGTAAGACTATAAAAGTGAAACTATTGATGAAATAGCTTTAAGCAACACAACTATCTACATACATATGCAAATATATTTATTATATATATATATATATATATATGTCAGAACATAATCGCAACTACTTCACATTAGACGAAAATACACGTGACAAAATTATCATAAGCAAAAGTTAGACTCGATATCACATGCCAAACGTCAATATATATATATATATATATATATATATATATATATAGGCGTAATATTCCCACTTCATGTCTGACTAGGTAACTAGTCAACCGATGATCATTAGTCAAATGCCAAATGACTGTTAAGTTATATATATGTGACATAGATTGAGAAAATTATAGAGAAACAAATGACAGTTAATTGATTGCCAGCCAGTATTGCATAGAATATCTCGTTCACTGTAAGACCGGAATACTGCTAATGTTGGCACCCCTATATATTTATATGGTTGATGAGTTTTATGATTGTATTTAAAAATATCTGTATGATTGAATCGTTGACAGTTATAGGCAAATTTAACCAGAATTATTTGTTTCTTTTCACGTTAGTATGCATTTCCCGTTGAATGATTAGGTTAAGATGAAATATACTGGGTGTCTCTGATGACATATTGGTGGTTCTCAGTACGGACGCTTCGACGTTGTCTAAATGATGAACATAATGCTGTCTTGGTTGGTATGATGATGATGATGGTGCCAATGGGATTCGGAATGCGAATTTCATCCTATTTAAGACTCATCAGCTGGATATACCAGCATCTCTCCATTTAGTGATGATTATTCCCCTGGCCCATTAGCCTGATGGATAATGCCTCACAGTTTGAAATGATGGCTGCACGGTTCAAGTATCAGTAGGAATACGATGATGACTCACCAAGGATGAAGGTACATCCAGACGACGAGTCGCAAATAAGACGAAATGCGCATCCTGGATTCCGTTGCTATCATCACTATCAAGTAAAATAACATCAGAATTAATGAACGATTTGTACTTATTGGATCTTATTAAATAAGATATATGTACGTGTGTGTTTGTATCTGGGGGGGGGGTAGCAGCCAGTGATCGATACGAAGGAGGCCACTAGCATGACGCAAGGATATCAGGAAAGAACAGAAATGAATCGAATTACTGACGTAGAACTCTGTACAAATGTATATTAGTTCAAGTTGGCACATTTCATTAACGTACACATCCAAGTAGAGAAAAGAAATCTACTGGAACTACAATAAAAGAAAATTTTCGACAGACAGTATAATTAGAGACAACCAAAAGATTTTATTTTCAAGAATTAGTTTGTAGGGATTCTATTTGTTTCAGGTTAGATCGCGGATTGGTGTCAGTTAGAGAATCATTGAAAACCAGGGAGTACTGGACAGCTGTTTCATCTTAGTCTCGGAATCGTCGGCAGTGCGCACCCACCGGGTTTCGAACCTAGGACGTTTCAGTTATAAGGCAAGCTCGTATACCATTCAACCGCTGGGACCCGATTCAATGACCCATGAATTCTAACTTCTACCGGTTCGTGATTTAAGCGCGACCGCCAACCAAAGTCGTCGGCAGGCCACTGAACCCGGTTCCAGTGGCCGAATGGTCTGCCTTATAACCGGAAAACTCTGGGTTCGAACTCCGGTGGGTGGACGCTGCCGACAATTTCAAAACTAGGATGGAACAGCTGTCTGAGTGTACTCTCAGCTTTCCCAATGGTTCTCTAACTGATGTCAGCCCGTGACCAGCCCTAAAAAGATTTTGACGATACACTGCATACTATCTTTAAAGCATTCAAAGACACAAAATTCATACATGTATCCAAAATGCTGAAGATACAGTTATGCTACAACTGTCGCATGGCAGGTTAGAGATAAACCGGATACTGTTGTCAACCATGAGAAAAAGCTACTGAGTTAAGTAACAATAATAATCAATAAGGTAGAGACATGCAAAGCCATATATCAATAATAAACGTAAACAGGAAACGAGAAACAAAAACCGTTACAACGGTAAAAAGTTACATTAAAAAAAAAAAGAAATGTTCCGTGTTTTGCTTCTGATTTTCAGGAGGACAAAAACTGAAGCCAAGAATAATTATCCCATGCACTAAATTCTCCACTTTTATTACACATTTGTTTAAAACTCAGTCAAACTTGTTATGCAATTGTTAATGTTGACTGTAAGGCCGACTGAATAATTCAAGAGTCAACCGCATGATGTGACCTAATTGTTTGACAAGTACCATGACTAAACCTAAATAATGATGTGTCGATAAAACATCTACAGCCATGTAGACAAAATAATGAAGTGTCTGGGTTTCACAACAAAAAAAAGGAAAAACACAAGCACGCACACCTGCACAAAATGATCTGAATAGTAAATATACACGAAATACCTCGATTACTGATATTTAGAATGAAAGATAGACAAAAGAATAGACACTGATCCAACACAATAATGGCTATGGAATGTTGAACAGACTAACAGGTAACAATTACCCGCACAATTATCACTTCACTATATATATATATATATATATATATATATATATATATATATATAATGAATTTATTACAGAGGCTAGTGTAACGCCTAGATAGATAACTATTGGTATCCCACTTATGCAGTTGTGTAACAGTTTATGAAGAGTTGTCATTTGAAGTAACAGATAACCAGTAGTATCCGTACACAATGTCTAAACTTTTGTTTAATTTCATCACAGTTGTACTGGTGACAGTAATTCTCAAGTATTGGTTTTGTAGTGATTGGATTGGCTTGTCTGACCTTGGCAGTGGTGTGGTCATGGGTGACTACAAGTGAACAGTCTGCAGACTACAACGAAAGGGCTGTCCAGTAACTCCTCGATGGTTTTCAATGTTTCTCTAACTGACATCAATCCATGATCAAACATAAGAGAATTAAGCCTGATTGGATTTAGAGACTTCAGCATTAACCTGTTGTGAGAGTGGAGTTTCTTCGATTCAAAGTTAGCAGATGACATTGTCCTTCTAGGTGAAGACATTGACAAAATTCAGAGACCTCTAAACACACTTTGAATATAAATGTTAGTAAATTTGGCACGAGGTTCAACCCTGCAAAATAGAAGATAACACCGCAGGACTGGTTCACACTGACTCCTACTATCAAGACAGAAAAGCAGAATGGTTAAGCATGTTGACCATTTCACTTATTTCAGAAATTGCATCAGCCCTAATGAACTGATTGACAACGAATTCTTATCACGGATACAAAAGTTGGATAACTGCTGAAGTATCCTATACTTAAGACGAAACAAATTATCACTGGGTTTTCAGTGGTTCAGTCGATCGAGAGGTGCTTTGGAAACTACTTCGCTACTACGAGATGCCACCGACAATTATACATCTCATCCAACAGCTGTACGACAATGCTTCATGCCAAGTAATCCACAACGGGAAACCTACGGAATCCTTCGAAGTGAGGACAGGAGTAAGACAAGGCTGCCTACTATCGCCAATGATTTTCCTGACTGCAGTAGATTGGATAATGCGACAAACAGCGGGCAATGAGGAAACAGGCATAAAATGGACTCACACAAAGAACTTGGAGGATCTGGACTTCGCCGATGATATATGTCTGATTTCCCACAAACTGGAAGATATGCAAGTGAAAAGTAACAAGTTGGCAGAAGAAGCATCAATGATGGGACTTCAGGTGAACATAGACAAAACAGAGGTGATGAAGATTCCTGGACAAGAACAACAACAACAGACAATAATCAGCATAAATGGGAGGAACCTGATAGAAACAACCTCCTTTACCTACCTAGGAAGCATCGTTTCAACTACGGGTGGAGGGAACGAATGAGGATATCAAAGCGAGGATCGGTAAATCAAGGCAAGCTTTCATTACTCTGAAGTCTGTGTGGAGATCCACAGCACTCAGCATGAAAAATAAGATATGGATTTTCAACTCCAATGTGAAGTCAGTGCTATTAAACGGATCAGAGACTTGGCGTGTCATGAAGAGCATCTCAAACAAACTACAGACCTTCATCAACAGTTGTCTTCGCTCAATACTACTCAAGATCAGATGGCCAGCCAGAATAGATCAGCAACAGGGAGGGATCTCTGGGAGTGAACCAACCCAGCAGGAACCGAATGTGCAACAAATATGCAGGAAGAAATGCAGTTGGTGGATTGGTCATACTCTGAAGAAACGATCAAGTGACATCACTAGACAAACCCTCGAGTGGAACCCAAAAGGGAAGCGGCGAGTTGGTAGTCATGTGAAGAGGAGATGAAAACGTGTGGGCAGACTTGGACCCAGGTGAAGACTAGCAGAGAACCGAACGCAATGGAGACGCACGGCTGAAGCCCTATGTTCCTCTAGGAATTAAAGGAAATAATAATAATATAATAATAATAATTTCATTGGTTCTCTATCAGGTGTCAGTCAGCAATCTAACTTTAGAATAAAAAATCAAGCCTACTATTTCTTTCTAACTCACTTGTTTCAATTCAATTTCACGAGTAATCAACTCTGATTGAGCTCGACTTAGTCGATCCAAAGTACCGGTAGCTTCACGTTGTGTTGAAAGATAACGTTGTTCCAGTGTTGCAATACGCGCCTCTTGATCTTCACGTTGAGCTTCTAACTCTCTTAGTTCTCTTTGTAAACGAGAAATCTAGATAAAAAGAGAAATAAATCAAATAATATAAATACACAAATGAAAATAAAATAATACATGCGACAATTATTGTAAGTCAATGAAGTTCGTTTGATGGAGTCAGCGTATATATTTAGTTTTAAACTGACATCAATAAGCACCTGAAAACTGTTTCATCCAAGCTTCGGACTCTTCAACGGTTCACTCCTCCCGGTTATATCTTCAACTGACAGAGGTAGTAATTCACGGATAACTGGATTCTAACCTACACAGGTTGAATGATCAACCAACTCGACTCGTTCACGAATCTAACCTCAAGGCGTTCAGTGGGTACTTCTGGCGAGTTTCAAACTAGGACAAAATAACTTTCCAGGTCTCTTTAGTTTTTACTGATACACTAAATGATATCGGCTCATGGTGAAATCTGCGCTGAAATTTCACAGCTTCGTTCCTCTCAAGTACAAAAGAAATTTAGTGAAGACCCTCAGCCACAGAGTTAGAGCTATATGCTCAGAAGAAGTAACTGAAGATGAATTAAGCATTGTATATGATACTTTGATCGAAAATGGTTATCCTGAAAAATTTATCAAGAAACACATGACAAAGAAAGCGGAAAAGGACTACTCACTATCTGTAAACAAGAAGCCACTTTATATACGACTGCAATTCAAGGGCGATATACTAAGTGAGATAATTACAACTGAAAAATGAAGTACCTAGACTAGCCACTTCAAATTGTATCTACCAATTCAACTGCGCTTGTGGAGCGAGTTATATTGGCCATTGCTCTACGAACTTGATTTTTTGTGCTAGCTCGAGAACATCTCCCACTATGGCTAAGTAAAGGTGTAGTGAAAACCATCAACAGTTCGATATTGGACCATCTGGTGCAAATCGGTCACAAAGCCAGCGTGGAAGAATCCTTTTCTATCATCTACCGGGTGCCTAATAAATTGCCAAAATCATCGAAGCACCGCATGCTACAAACAGCAGAGGCTATTGCAATTCGCCTCAAACAACCAGTGCTCTGTGTTCAAAAGAAGCAAGTCCAGCCACTACTACTACTGCCTTGGCCGGCCTTCAGTAGAGACTATAAATTCATGAATTTGTAATATTATCTTCCCTAATTTTTCTGACATTCAGCTTATTTTATGTTGATGCTATTGAGCTGTAATCTATCAGTATTATTGATTCGATGTTATTTAAACAACATTATTGTTGTTCATAACACTAATTCATTCATTTATTATAATGTATATATAACTGTAGAGCCTGATGATGAAGTTATCGAAAAGAGTACTCTTTGTTCAGTATCCATTCTTTTGAAAACTCAAAATCTAACAATTTATAGATTAGTCACAATGATAAAATTATGACAGAGAAGACTCATTTTCTGATTTAGTTATCATTACTATGACTAATAGTATTATCATTACTAATTTTTTTCACTGACTTTAAAAGTGGTTGTTGATTGAAGATAAGATGAGAACCTGGACTGCACTACGATTCGAATAAACCGCCTCGTGATCTACCACCTAAGCACTACGACATCCACCCGTAATAACTGCAGTGAAATGATGGTCTAGGTGCCGTAGCTCAGCTGATTATATAGATCGTTGAGTTAGTAATCCACCAGCTGCTGGTTCGAACCCTATCGCCATGAGCCAGATTTTCATTTCACCTTCAACGATCGTCCACAACATCACCAATAGCAGTCTATCTATCGAAGACTATCCCATATAGAATAGGATAGAATATGAAACACTCCATGATAAGTATCAACTACAGGTGGAACTGACGAGGATATCAAAGCAAGAATCGGGAAAGCAAGACAAGCTTTCACTACTCTCAAGTCTGTGTGGAGGTCAACAGCACTCAGCATCAAAAATAGGATCCGGATTTTCAACTCCAATGTGAAGTCAGTGCTACTATGCGGATCGGAGACTTGGCGCGTCAAGAAGAGCATCTCATATAAACTACAGAGCTTCATCAACAGTTGCCTCCGCTCAATACTCAAGATCAGATAGCCGGCCAGAAAAGATCAGCAATAGTCAGGGAACTCTGGGAGCGAACCAACCAGGAACCGATTGTGAAACAAATATGCAGGAAGAAATGGAGGTGGATTGGCCATACTCTGAGGTAACCATCAAGTGACATCACTAGACAGGCCCTTGAGTGGAACCCGAAGGGAAGCGGCGAGTCAGTTGGTCATCAATGCGAGGGTGACTTGGAGGAGGTCATGTGAAGAGGAGATGAAAACGTGTGGGCAGACTTGGAGCCAGGTGAAGACTCTAGCAGAGAACCGAACGCAATGGAGACGCACGGCTGAAGCCCTATATTCCTCTAGGAATTAAAGGAAACAATAATAATAATAATGATAAGTTAGTAATTACTAAGGCGCATTTTTCTTCTCATTGAATACCATTCATTCAAATAGCTGAATTTAGTTATTTTCACTTGTAGACAACAAGAATAAAAGCCTATTATTATTGTTATTATTATTTCACATAATCTTTCACATATATCCATTAAAAATTCACATATCCACGTAATAACGACAACAACAATAATTAGCCTATCACTGTGACTAATTATCGAAAGTCAAAGAAGCCTGGAATTGCAACCAGGCCAAGGGTAACAAAAATTTTGTTTTTGGCTGACAGGCTATTCTATCAGCTGACTACCACTATACATAGTCAGAAAAAGGAAGCTTCCTTTCACAATGGCCATTTATTATACTCGGTAACTCATTTACGTTTATTTTCATGTTTCTCAAGCCAATTGCAAATGCAAATTACACGAGAAGTTACATATTATTATTACTATTAGTATTATTCCCTTGAATTCTGAGAGAAACATAGGGCTTCAACAGCATGTCTCCACTTAGTCCTTTTCTCTGAGGTCCTCTTTAGCTGGTTCCAAAACAGTACTAAGGTTATAGTGTGGAATTTTCAGCATTTGGTAAAGTAAGGGAGTAAGAGAAGGCGGCTTACTATCCCCAACGATATTTCTAATTGTGGTGGACTCCATTAGGAAGAAGACCGCAAGGAGCGAGAAGACCAGAATACGTTGGATCGAAAAAAGGACTTTAAAAGATCTGGATTTCGCGGACGATTGATGTGTAATGTAATGTCACACAAACTCGAAGACTAACAGGGAAAAAACTAACAAACTGGCGGAAGAAGCAGAAAAGGTAAGATTTCAAGTGAACATAGAGAAAACAGAGGTGATGAAGATAACCAACTAACCAACAACATCAAGCACCAACCATTATCATCAAAGGGATAAATTTGAAACAAGTCACTTCCTTCACTTATCTTGGCATCATCGTAGCAACGACGAGCAACACGAATGGGGATGTCAGAGTCAGACAGGATCGGCAAGGCAAGAAAAACCCTCATCACTCTGAAATCAGATTGGAAATCCTCTGTACTCAGCATAAACAAAAAAGGGGATTTTCAACACCCGCCTTAAGTCAGTCAGTTTTATGTATGGGTGGGAAACTTAGCGGATGCGTCACGAAAAGCATTTTCAACAGGTTGCAGACTTCTAATAACAGCTGCTTTCGCTCCATATTGAAGATCAAATGGCTAGAAATAATTATCAACAAGAAATTCTGGAAACCAACCAACCAAGAACCTACTGCTTAACAAACACCCCGAAAAAAAATGGAGATGGGCCAACAACACGCTGGGGAGACCGTCGAACGACATAATATGCCAGTTCCTCGAGTGGAGCCCGAATGAGAGATGACGAGTGGGGCGTCCGAGGGTGACATGGAGGAGATCAGAGACCATGAGTAGTTACATAGTGGAACTATTTACTGTAAACAGAATTTAGGTTTACGGGGAAATAACGATGATGATGATACTTTGATTGGTCACTATCAATGAGTCAAGTTTGCAATATGGCCATCATGCTAGATGATGATAGTTCGCCATCACGGTGCACTTTGAATCGCTATGATTAGATGGTTGAAGGCTATTGACAGGAAGCCTCAGACCTAGGTCTTGTGCTTGTTGGCACTCACCAGTCAGCAAGGAGTATCTGAAATCTTGAGATTCAAACCAGTGCTGCAGTCACAGACATTACTACTGATAGAATTCAGTCCAGACAAACACCAAGGAGTAAACACAAGACATCAGTTACTACCTAGTGACCAATGAGAGTGTCCATTAAAGTCCTACAGGAGTTCAGTTGCGAGTAACATCTCTAACCGTAGAACCCGGTGACCCAGGTTCAAATGACAGAAAGGAGATGAGTTCTTCCAAGATTTGAGATACGCCTTAGTGACTGGTGAAAGCCAAAAGCCACGAAACTTAGGTCCAAGGCATCCTACTGATTGCCTCCAACCATCTAACTATAACGACAAAGAGCAATAATTTTCAAGTGGCTGAGATTTAGCGATTTATTCACTGCTCATAATAAGTTTAAGGCAGAAACAGTGACAGACTCATTGTCATTTTTGTAACACAAACAAAAACGAGACAATTTAAAACAATATTCTTTTTAAAATGCACTCACCTGATCATGAGCTCTAGATAATTCTTTTTGAAGAGTTGTATTCGAAGCTTCTAAATCTCTTGACTTTGTTGTCACTTCAGCAAGTTTACGTTCAGCTGCAACAGCACTGGCAGCAGCAGCTGCAGCGGCGGCGGCCACTGAAGCGACTGTCTTTGCACCAGCATTCTCTGAAGGTGAACAGCTGGTTGATGAACCTTCATCTCCAGAGTCTTTTAAGTTGACTGGTGGTCCACCAGGTGGCAGTGAGGCTAGTTTACTGCCTACTTCACTAGTATCGCCACTTTCTTTACTACTGCTTTGTGATATGTGATTGGTGTCAGCTACGGGCGGTACAAAAAAAAGGAGGAATACAATAAGTTTTAAGACATGAAGTCGAAGAGAAAACGTTACTTAATTAACTTAGTGTTAGCTTATGTACACTCTTATGCAATCGATTGCATAATGACAGGATCTCACCGAGTTTTCAAAATGTTACATCAGAAGAAGAAGTCAAAGATTGAAGACAAGTATAGGTGTCAAAACAGAGAGAAACAACTGCCTAATGCCTTTTGTTTTCCTGACAAATATCAAAACCATGATACAGACTGGTTTGGAAACAATGAAGTTCTAAATACATGTAAGAGCCTATCGATTTTTTAAAACAGCTAACAACTGATGTATAAGTGTGTCCTGAATATAACTAACTATCGTAAAAATTTTCTCTATCAGTGTGAACACTTATATCGCCAGAGAGAGTTGGACTAAATTCGTCCCACATGATATTACTGACGCGAGTTCGAATCTCAGAAGGGACATGAGTTCGATCAAGGTTGCATATACGCCTTGCTGACTGGTGAGTGCCAACTAGCACGAAACCTAGGTCCAAGGCTTCCTGTGGCCGACTGCCTCCAACTATCTAATTACTGGACAACATCAATAAAACCTAAAGGAGCATTAGACGACTCCTTGGTGCAAACTTTATGACTCGTTACCAGTATAAAAGGTACTATTCAATGTGAGATTGAACCGAACGTGATCAGACTTCACAATGAGCACTTTACTGTTCTGCTACTGAGTCTGGATCTGACTGTTTATGTTTTCCCGCTGGATGAATGATAAGAAGCTTTCAGTGAGATCTGATAGTCTTGAGTTTGCTCCCCACCACCCCAATAGGGATGCAGTCGCACACCCACTGAACAGTTGGCTTTCAGAATGAAACAGATATCCGGAGCTAGTGTCGACCTGTGACATAAACTATCATGAAATCAATTAACTCCTGAAAAGTCTTCCAGTTGCACAACCTTTCCTTCATCATATAACACTTTTGCTTTATGGAAATGTATTTATTGATATTGACTTTGTCTGAGTCTTGGAGCTTTCTCCAATTCAAGCTTTTTACCTTCAAAGTGATTTCATCGTCTTCTACTGTTGTGTCTACGTGTATTCTGAGTATTCAATGACTTCAATGTTATTTGAGTAAAATTTTTGTATTGAATGTGATTTCACTGTGATAAAACATCACTCGACAGCTGTTTCGTCCTAGTCTGAGACCGCACTACGCACCCATGACTCCACCAGGGATTGAACCCTCGAACATCAAGTTAGGAAGCTAGCCAGAGTGACTAATGATGGCTACATCGTCAACCTATTAGGCGCAGTGATTAATCCCTGGTGTGCTCAATCTTAAACTACGACCAAGAAAGATCATTTGGATGCAGCAATATCTGTAAAATATCAAGTTGACTATTGTGAAAAGAAGAGAGAAGTGTCTATTTAACCTCTTTTCTAAAGGTGATTTAGTAACATGGCACTCCAAAAGATGTATTCATTCTACTTTCGAACTACAGTTTGTCTCTTAAGCCTATATTAATGAGTTCTAAACAGGACAAAAGACAGTGTATTTGTTAACTTCATAGTAAAGAAAATAAGAATTTTATAACTCACCACTATTATTTCCATTCACAGCTGAAGCTGATTGTTGTTGACGTTGTTGTTGAACTGCTGCAGCAGCTGCAACTCCAGCCAATGCTGCAGCCAGCTGTTCTCTTAAAGCTGCACGATCAGCTGCAGATGATCGAACTTCTTCTTCTAGTTGAGCACCACGTTCTAAAGCTGTACGAAGACGTTCTCTCACACGTTCATCCAATGCTTTATGATGTTCAAATAGAGATTTTAATGCTTTTAATACTTCAACTTCAGAGCTAACACCACCAGGACTGTTTACTTGACGTTTAACAACTGTCATTCTTAGTGAACGTTCATGTCTAGCGACTAAACATTCTAAATGCTCTAAAAGAAGCTGAAAAGCATGAAAAAAAACAATGAATATAGTTCATTAAATCTCATAATTAACTAAATATTGTTATTGTTAGAGATTAGGACAAGGATGTATCGGAGATTTCTATATATTAAGCAATCAAATAACAGGGTCAAAGAGTTATACGATTATGAATTTGTATTTTGCGAATGGCTTTCTCAGGTCTATCGCACTCTCATATAATGTACAGGAGGGAGTGCTGGACAGCTGTTTTGTCCTAGTTTGGGACTTTTCATAAGTACGCACCCATGACCCCACAACCAGGGAATGAACGCAGAACCTTCCAGTTACGAGGTGAACTTGTTGAACATTCAGTCACCGGGACGGAATCCAGTGACCCATGAACTCTAACTATTGTCGATAGGCGATTCTTAGCATCACAGACAGTCAGTGTTAGCGGTGAGTATTTGTCCTCACACCCGACATGGTTGACCCCCCCCCCCACCAACTAGTCACTACTTTTCAGCAGAACACTCCAGGGAACTTCATCCTGTAGTTAGCCAGTAGTGAGTTTGTAGTGGAGAAGAAGATGGATTCCAGGGAAGAAAATGCTAATAATTCCAGACAGTGGTAACCTTAACAAAGCTTAGAAATATGCAGAAGATATAGGTATGCATACCAAAAGAACTTAGTCCATTGGTTGTAGCTCCCATTTTAAAGTCTCTCTTCACCTACTTTGGTCTAGATAGCTGTGACTAGGTATCATTAGGTTTCACAAAGTAATTGTTGCACATAGCCTGGTAGGGGAGTAGGTGAGTTTCGAATCAACCATGTTTTATTAGTTGTTGACAACAATAACAGGTCGAGTGTGAGGACAAATACTCGCCGAAGACATTGGCTAAGGGTCGCGCTATTTCGTGGGGCATTGGATCGGGTCCCAGTGGCTTAATGGTCTACGAACTCGCCTTGTAACCAGAAGGTCCTGGGTTCGAATCCCGGTGGGTGCGTACTACTGAAGAGTCCCAAACTAAGACGAAACAGCTGTCCAGTACTCCCAGGTTTTCCAAAGGTTCTCTAACCAATGTCAGCTCATGATGAAATCCTGTAACCAAACCTCTCAAACATTGGCAATCCATTATGCTAATAGGAATAGAGAGTTTAACGCTGTAGCTGACGGGGCTCGCAAGTGAACAGGACGCCAACGGGTAGAGCCTTTTAATCACAGGGTCATAAGAAAAAAAGCTGGCTTGCGTTTTTTAACATTCCAATTTTTTTCTTCCTTCGTTTTAAAACATGCACAAAGAGTTTTTCAAGAAAATATTTAAGTCAACATTTTAAATTATTTATCTACTACAGACAACAGCCTGAAGTCAGATCAACTAAAACTGATAAATAATAACGAAAGATGGGTAAAAAAAGGGAGAAGCTGTCAAAACTTTTGATCATAAAAAAGATTACGTATAAGCATTCGCGTTTTCTGAGTGGTGTTTAAAAGCAAAAAAATAAAACAAAAAAACGGAAGTGAAAGGAGAAAAGTCAAAAATAAAGGAAAATATTGGAAATTCTGTCATAGCAACTTTATTGGAATATGAATTGATCAATAAGGCATTGCTGTTACTTGACTGACTACGTTCATTTTGAGGGAGCGAATTTCAAATTTCATCATGATGCGCATGAAGCCAGCTAGAGAATCAGTAACAACCAAATGTCTCCTACTTTTCTTTCCTTCATGTTCCCAGTGGAACATAGGGCTTCACGCTAGTGGCTTGAATTTTCTGTAGCAGTGTTTATTTTTACAGGATGGGGTTGCTAGCCTCATGCCCAACTTTCCCTCTTTACCAGTCATATTACTGGCTTAGCGAGGTAAAGGAGTGCGTCGGCCGGGGTTCGGACCCCGGACCATGTGCATGGTCGGCGAGCGTCCTAACCGCTGTGCCACCGACGCACTAATGTCTCCTACTAGTTTGCGTCTATTCAACAATAAGAGCCCACGAATCGATTTTGTATAGTAGATTTATAGGATAACCCTGTTACTGTTCACTTATTAGGTTTGAATGAAATAACATATGATCGCCAATTATTGCATATTCGCCATATATCACCACTATTCATTGAATGACCTGACGATATTAAGTTTTGTCCCCTAATCCAGGGTTGTGGTTGCACACTGTTGAACAGTAGTTCTAAAGCTGGACAAAGCAGCAATCTGTTGTCATTTATTTATTTTTCATCTCGCAGATGGAAACATAAAATCAGCATTTAGTTAAGACGTGATTCCATACTTATCTGAAAATGACAATAGAAATAGTTGTTCACTTACGTCCCGAGTGAAATACAGGGCTCAAAGTTCTTGAATTTTCAATGGTGCTGGTGATTGTTTCTGTTGGTAACTTCACACTCTACCTTTCCTTTTTTCTGGGCTTACTATTGGCTGGTAGACTAGACGAGCTTTAAGAGTGCGTCAGCTAGGAATCTAGACCGAACCTCCCGCGTGAATGGAAAGCATTCTGTCATAATTTATTAACTGTGGCTAATAGTAGAATGATTACAGACCCAAAGATTCTATAAGCTAAACAAACAAGACTAATTCTTACAGCATTAAAACAAGAGACGTTTTCTTCATTTTTAAAACTTGAACAATCTTCGACTGAGATTAGCCTCAGAGAAGTGCATCTGGTTCCTACATCTCAGCAGAGATTTTAGTCTATTTAGCTTCAAACCTTAACTCAAAGTTCTTAAATATCCCTGAGAATAGTTGATGAATGTATGCAAGTGTCCCAAGTTCTTTTCAATTACTAACTCAGGCTGAGAGTAAGATAGAGGGGACTGAAGAGTAACTGGGGGATTAGTTGAACTGTTTTTCACAGTGCACTACCCATAATTCTAGTCGCCTTCATTTGTATAGGACTTTCAATTAGTTCTACTATGTTTTATTGTCGCCAGTCGCTAATACTTTTTCTTAGTCTTCGATAAGCCTGAAACCTGATATGGTGGTACCTATCATAATTGATTTCTTTATCTTTTCGCCTTGCTCTTCCTACTACATCTCATGATGATTGCGTACATTCAAGATACCTTAGCATTTCGTTGTACTCAGAGTCTGTGGAGACGCGTTAATGTGAGTCCTCAAGTGATCCTTTGTAGGTATTTTTTGAAGATTATACGACATCTGCAGTAGGGAGGATATAATACCATTTCTTCAACAGGAATTATGCTTTCGTGTCTCACTAAATGTCTGACCACTTATTGTTTAAATATAATCTTGACTATCCCCATTATATCGGGTTACGCTTCAGAAGTCCTTGTGTCTATTATACACTTGAATCCATTGAGACCAGTGCATAATCCTTATCAAGCTGACAAAACCAGTAAAGTGTGAGCCTTGATGAAATTATTATTTCAGTATTTCCCATAGATTTACTTTGTTAGACTGAAATACTCGGTCGCTATTGACATATTGGCTCCTGATACGAATGTTTTGACTATGCCTTAAGGTTGGAATACTGTTCCTGTCACACTCTGACATTTGGAACGATGGGTTCTGAGTTCGAGTCTCACTGGGAACAACACCGCTCCGGAAAATGAGCGCCGGTCAGAACGAAATGCGCAGCCTGGATTCCATTGCAACAGTGACCACCATCAACCAAATAAAGTGTAAACAAATTATAATTTCAAGAGTTAATTTGTAGGGATTTGATTTGTTTCAAGTTTGACCACGGATTGATATCAGTAAGAGAACCATTGAAAATCAGCAGGGACTACTGGACAGCTGTTTCGTCCTACTAGTTTGGGATTCATCGACAGCATGCACCTACCGGGGTTCGAACACAGGACCTTCTGGTTACAAAGCAAGCTAAAATAACCAACTGATAGGAGTTGAAATCCATGAGCCAGTGGCTGAATGGTCTAAGAGCTCGCTTTGTAAACGGAAGGTACTGCGTTCAAACACTAAAGGTGGGAGAGGGGTACTGCCGATGAACAGAACAGTACCCCCAAACATGGTTTTCCAATGATTCTCTAACTGATATCAATTTGTGGTCAAACTTATATTTTATGCAGAAACAATCTTAAGAAAGCTGAACTTACCCTGGTATTGTTCCGTTCAGATTTCAATTCAACAATTTCTTCTTCACGTTCAGATATCTGATCACGTAGACGATGAACTTCTTTGGCCAATAATGATAAATCCTAGAATAAATAAATCAATAAATAAAACAGAAAAGAAATGAAATGATAGTAATGTAACGGTAACGCTGTACCATTTGCTGTCTCTGACATCAAATCTGTGTCCCTGCTATTTGATTTTTTATCCCGACCAATGAACATCTCTTTATATATGTATACTACTGATAAATCTTATCAGTAGCACACGCCACAGTGATACTTCGGAGAGAGAAAAACTAATAAACAAGTTATATACGGATGTCCGTCTTGAAATAAAGTAAAATCAAATAATAAAGAATCTGTGTGAATCTTTCAATCCTTGTGGCATGCCATATATAAATAATAATGAATGCCGGTTACAAGGAGGTCAAATAGATTCACAATTACACAATTCAATAAAATAATTTGAATGCTTAACAAGTTTCAAATTACTCACGTGATCATGAAAGTGCTTAAAAATAGTTAGTTTATTCTAATTATATAAGAAGATGAAAGCACCTTTTACAACGACAAAAAAAATAGGTAACACCTTAACACACGAATGACTTCAACAAATTTTCGAAGGGTCATATTTAAGTAATTTAATTTTTTTCATTCCTTTGGGTTCCTACTGGAAAATAGGGTTTCAGGCTTGAGGGGCCTTGAAGTTTCAATAGCCGTGATGTTTGTTTTTTAAACGGTTGGGTTGCTAGCCTCACATCCAACCTTCCTTCTTTTCCAGAGTCACTATCGGCCAGTCAACTAGACGATGTTAAGAAGTGCGTTGGCCGGAGATCGAACCCTGGATCACATGCGTGGTTGTCAAGCCTTCTACCACTGGACACCGCCGATGCATCTAAAGTAATATGTATATTTAAATTTCGTCAAGTTCTTGTATCCTTACGAGAATATACTCTTAAGGGATTTGTAATCTTTGTAATCTGATCCACAATTAACATAAAATACTGTGGAAAGAAGAGTGACACACAACCTAAGATCATTTTTATCAAGTCACCTTAAAACCATTTTCAAGTGTTGATCTGTAGGGAATTGATTAGATCCAAGTAAGTTTTCATCGCCAACCAACATGAGTTGAACAACTTGACCAGGACAAAACAGTTATATATCCAGTACACTCTGGTTTTCTCTCATTGTTCGTACAACTGATGTCAGTTTGTTGTGAAATCTAACTTCTTTAAACCGGTAGTATCCCTACAAAACAACACTTATTCACTGCTCACTCACTAGTGACTGACTATGGGACGCACTTCTTGGAGTTTTAATAAGAAGCTGTGACCGGTGGGATCCACCAAGACGGGGGTGAGGACACATACTCGCCGATGATGTTGACCAGCAGTAGCGCCATATATATAATGCGAATTGACAGAAATTGGAATTCATGGGCCACTGGTTAATGTCCCAGTGGCCGAATAGTCAATGAACTCACTTCGTAACCTGAAGGATCTGGGTGCGATCACCGGTAGAGAGATGGGTTGTACTACCAAAGAGTTTCGAACTATCACTAGAGCACCCTGGGTCCATTGATGGTTCAATGGTAGAATACTTGCCAACCACTCAAACGATCCAGGTTCGACCCCTGGCCAACGCACTCCTAGACCTCGCCTAGTTTACTAGCCGATAGTAAATTCGGAAAAGAGGCAGGGTTTGGCGTGAGGCTAGCAACCTCAAACATTGTAAAAAAGAAACACCATCGCTAGTGAAAATTCGAAAGGTCGAAGCCCCCTACATCCCATTCAGAACGCAAAGGCAAAGGATATCCTTATTCATTTCATCTTACATGGTTAAAATAATTACCTACAATGAGCATATATGATGAGCCTTATATAATTGAAGTAAATTTCCAAAGCGAGACAGTCATCGACTGTTTAGTGGAGTTATCCTGTAGTTTCCTCCCATATATATATTTTTTAATTTTTTGATTACAGCTTGATTTCACACCGTATTTTTTGGTACAGGTATGGAATTTTCAGCATGTGATATCGGTAGCCAACATTTTACAGGCCGACCATAGATATCAGGTGTGCGTCGGCAGGAGATCGAACCCCGAACCATGTGCATGGTCGGCGAGAGTCCTAACCACTGTGCCACCGACGCACACACTGAGAGACACAAACAGTCAGTCAGTGAATGAGTCAATGATTCGGACAGTCGTTGAGCCAGTCAGTGTGTCAGTCACAGAGATAGAGTGAGAGTGTGACAGTGAGTGAGTGAGGAATCAGGCCGAATGAGTGGTATGAGTAGATTTAGTTGTTGTGTTGTGTTGTGCTGTTGATGTGTGTATGTATATAGTCGAATTCTAGTCATCGTGTGGAATACAAAATAATTAAACTACTAAGGCAACTGAAACGAGATTACATAGTCAATACCTAGTCGTTGAAATTAATCATTGTCAAAATCTAGACTACATTTCTATTATTTGTACACGTCTATAAAAAGTGTGTGTCTGTTTGTGTGTGTGCATTCTCATGTGATTAGTGCATACATTTAAATTGACAGAATCAGTGAATGACAGTTATGTCAATCCTATGCATACCTGTGAGTACACTAGCTAGCTACCTTTTTTTATATTTCCAATAGACTGAGGCTTTAAATGACTATTAGGGCTAGTTATCATAGACATTAAAACATACATTATTATCATTATTATTGTCATATGAAGAGAGAAAACATACACGAAAATTTTTCTTTCAAAACATGAATCTCTAAACTAAATAGAACTGAATTTTCTACGAAGAACTTTGCTTAGATGTGGAGCTGTTCAAGTTGCTGCACTCCACAAACACACACACACATACTCACATGAAGGTTGAAAAAAGCAGTGCAAAGAAACTGCAATAAACTGAAATGTAGTGAGAGAAAGAATAATTCTATGGAAAATAACGAGGATTCAATGAATCTAGGAAGTCATAAAAAGTGAGTGCGTTTGTGCCATATTACAACAAGTCTCTAGCCATTGCTTCTTAGAGTTTTGATAGCTCCACTTAGATGAAAACACACAACGACGTGAGCCAAAAAGTATATTTCAATATCAGCCAAAGTATATCTTACATAATAATGTATGATTCGAAAAATCACCAACGATATGTCAACTGGTCTATAATCATGATCAATAAAATAGTAAGTATTACTTTATGCAGGCCTATTCTGATTGGTTTATTCTCGAGCTGACCTTGATAGCCATATCACCAATAAAGAATGATCCATTGTCTACACATCACATTATTATTCAGAAGTTAGACTGACAGAGATTTACACCGTTTTCAGGTTGGTGAACTTGGAACAAACAGCAAAAACAACAAATCGAGTAGCCTAAAGCTTAACTAATTATATCGGCAGATAAATTCGATTTTTATATTGATTGTGTCATATTTTATGGAAATTATGAAATTTGAAACCTAGTAGAAGTGCTTCTGTTTTAAGTTTATTTAGTTAGACAGATGTTCAATAGGTTACACACTGCTAGTTTCCTGGATTCTCAGGAGCGGTAAAGCGTGATTGATAAGGTAATGGTTTTTGTTGTCAACCTTGAGACAAGCTGTTTGGTACACTCTATTTAAAACTTTGCAATACGCCGTAGATTCTTCCAGAGAGGTGAAACTTCTCACGAAAGAAGGGACTCTGATTATTTTGTATTGAATAGTTATTAACCTATTCAGTGACTCAAAAGAATTGGGAAGATGGGCGTTTCTTCCAGAAACTTCGAACAATTTCACACCCTTCATAAACTTGTGAAAAATCCATAATAACAAATTGAACAGATTCTAATAGCCAATTTGACAATTCATTCGCTCTTCACGATTTACACAGTCCAAGGTGAAACTTCATAAAAGAGTTTCCGAAGGAAATCATATCAATTACAAATCGCGTATTTGTTCCCACGTATCACCATTTCCCTCAGGTAGATAACTAGCCAGAACTCGAGTGATTTAAACTGATTCCACCGTCTGAGCTGAGTTTAACCAAGCACACGAACAACTGGTGAGCCCAGTCCGACTACTCAGTATTATATAACATCACTGATTCTAATAGCAAAATGCCATTGATTTCAAGCCAGATTACGTCACAAACACCAACAAAAGTTACTTTACCTTTTGAGGGAAAAACATTTCTCCTCTACATAACGTGACATTTTCAGAAAACGGAGAAAATGGGAAAGAAATGTATTACGGTGAATGGACATCATTCGAAACGTGATAACAAATGTGTACACGACTTTTCGAATCGTCATCACTACTTATGATTACTAAATAAACCTAAAAAAACATTTTCAAGCACTAATGTTGTTCTGGTTGTCGCGAAAACGACAATTACGTGAAACCAATTAAACATAAAGCAATGGAAACATGAGTGTAATAAATTCCTTTCAAAACTTTTTACAAAAAACCTTGGTTTTGCACATTTTATACAATCTTTTAACAGATAAAATTTCTTGTTCAGGTTAATTTTAAAAGACATTAGTGAACAAAGAATATTCTTTTTGATAAATTTGTCATCAGGTACTACACTTATTTGACGATAATAATTTAAGAAATATTCTTATTAGCAATATTAATGCTGTTTTAAATCACATTAAATCAAAAGTATTGGTGGATTTCATTTCAAATACGTCAGTAAGAGAGAGGTGGTATGCATTAATATAAAACTAAACTGAACATCAGTTAAATTAAGGAAAGTAACACATAATTTATGATTTTCAAGTATTGATTTTGTAGGGATTTTTTTTGATGGGTTGGAGGATTTCATCATGAGCGGACATCCGTTAGAGAACCACTGGAAACCCCGGAGTACTGAACAACCGTTTCGGCCCTCTAGTTTGGGACTCTTCGGCAGTAGGCACCCACCGACAGGGTTCGAATCCAGGACCTTGTGGTTACAAGGCGAGCTCGCAGACCATCCCGCCAATGGGACCCGATCCGATGGCCAGTCCATGAATTCTAACTTTTGCCAATTCACAACACATTGCGACCACTTCGCAATGTCTTCTTCGATGAGTTATTGTCTCACCTTCAACCTGCTGTATCCTA